TGTCGCTGTATGTTTGCAGTAATGACTGTATCCTATAAAAACTGCAAACTTCCGTGCATGCATTATTGTTTCTGCTACTGTTTCCTACTCATGTCTCTGATGATGAACCCGCGATGGATGCCGAAACGTCAGGCGAATAAACATATTGTCCCAGCGATCGAGTCTTCTTCTTCTCAATTGCTTCCTGGGACTCGCATGTATTGGAAGTAAAGTTATTGCTACCAATACTGTCTTACCTGATTTACGATTCGAGGGCCTTCTTCTTGTCGACACTACAACCTACTACAGAACATTCAGGTATCCAGCCCGGCCCCAGTCAAACGTACTTTGAATGTATGACCTCTCAAGTTCGCGATTGTTGCTTAATCGAAGAAGTCGCAAAATTCTTAATAGCAAAATTTAGAATTGAAAATCTAACATACATTAGGCAAACGCAGAATGACCTATCAAGGCTTCACAAGCGTTCGCTAGCTGAGAAGACAGCAGCGCCAAACTCAAAAAACTAATAGTTAAACGGCTCCTAAATGCCCACTTAAACAAAGCATCCTTTTTAGTTGATATGGAACCATTACTGTCGCTCAATTTTTGAGGCTTTCCGGGACTTTATAGACGAATTACCGTTTACTTAGGTAGATACAGCACATTTTTATGTGAAAGTGGTCATTTCCACCATTCGACTGCTTTTCGAAAATTCGTAAATAGTAGACATGATCATGACGACGTCTTGTCTCGCCTGACCACACCCACTACACAAGGCCATGTCTTGGCAGGAAAGTGCTCATTTTTCCACTATCCTAAACATTTTTTAAAACAAAGCTTAGGAAGTCACAAAAGTAACTCAGGAATTCACGCGTAAGCCCATTATTTTTTTCACTTTAAAAAATTACTGAAACATTTTAATTGGCTTCAAAAACTGGGTTAGCGCGGGGTAGGAGTAGGTAGTCTACAGCTCCTAGGGATACATATTCTCCCATGTCTTTTGTTTCATATCGTTCGCTGGGTCCCATCAAGCGATTTCATCCTTGCTTAACTCTAGGAATAATTCCGACAACAGAGAATTGGTAAATTCTTTCTTTGCCAGCTATTATACTTTTGAATCTGACCGCATTCTTGCAACTTCTCCGTCATCTGATGCGATCCTCACTTCCATAAATCCGCTCAGTACTAGTATTCAAAGACAGATTAACCAACCTGAGATCTCTCAGTTCCCTGAAATGGAACACGTTTCTTACTCATCGTGCAGCTAATATATTTTTATCTTCTTCCGAGGAAATCCATTGCAGACTTTTTAAATAATGGTTTCTCTACTGAATGTTTGAAAACTTGCATTATTATTCGAGTTTTTAGATGTGACTCTCTTTCGAGTGTTTAAAATGATCAGGACACTGAGAAAATACCGTCTCCAGCTAAACTGTTGGAAAAAAATGTGCAATCAAAATTGCCAGTTTTTCATAGTCAATCCTGTTATGAGCTCTTCCCAAAATGGCTTTCTACCCGATCGATCTAGATCTACTCGGTTCTCTTCGTAGTTATCGTACATCTGTGGTTTATATACATTTCGATCTTAGTAAGCTGTTTACTACGGTGCCACATAGGCTCCTAGTTAAAGTGAAGGCCCTGAAACTTCGCAGTTCTATTATTGACTTCAGTACGTCATTCCTATGTACAGGTACAAATATCCTCATGGATTCCTCATTTTCAAATGAGAGCCCTATTACAAGCGGTGTCCTCTAAAGTACTGTGTAAAGTTCTCTTGCATTTTTGCTAAATCTAAATCGATCGCCCAACTTGGCTTGGAACAAATCCAAACTGATTTGCGTGCTCTTTCCCCGTGGATCCCAAAATGACTGATGGAATTCTCTCCTTCTAAATGTCCATCCACCTGCTTTAGACCTGAAAGGCTACCTCAACTGGTGGTTTTTCAAGGATCCAAGACGCAAATGTTCCAGAATCGGGGACTCAGTTTTAATTTACAACAATAATTTAGATCCTTCCAGCAGACCGATAGGATTAGAGCCAAAGCTGCCCAGATGTGAGGTTTCCTTTTTTAAGTTTTCTACCTTGAATTGTATTAAGAATATCTGTTCTTCCTACCGGCATATATTGCTGCCCACTCTTTGGTTTAATGCATGAGTCCAGCCATTTTAAGATGGAGGAGTTCGAAGGCAATTCACTGGAACCCTCTCTTATCAGGCATATCCAAATACCTCCAACTCACAGAGCTAGCGCCTAAATAACTTAAACTTTCCATGGGTTCGGAGCCTAGAAGCTGGTTCTCAATAAATAAATAGTAAAAATACCTCTATTTCATGCCAGGTTACAGGCATTGCACAACTAAATATACCGTACGAATCAACTAGCAATGTCGTGACGTCTAAATGTAATTAGTAGTTTCGTTATCGGGCATTTTGAGTTTTTTCAGGTAAATGACGGCAGTCCGGAACGGGAATAATTAGCAATAGAGCAGGCGAAAAAGTGGCTCTAGGTACGGCCTCGAAATATATTTCATCAAACATGTAAACCGTTTCTGGGAACGTAAAGCAATAAGAGATCACAGAAGAGGGAAGTACCTAATTCTCGCGTGTTTCCGGGTTTAAAGCTTGTTAGTTTGACCCACCCCATTATTGAAAAAAACTTGAAACTTACCCAAGACAGACCTCATGTACTTGAGATGAGGCTGCTTTCAAATTATCACTGCAAACGCTGAAAGCATCGTGATTACTGCTGGTTCTACAAAGCCCTAACTAATATAAAAACAGCCGTTGCTATTTTAAACACTCCAGACGGTGTTTTACACGTCACAGAACCGCACGTTAGAACATCATCGGCAGGTGCGCCGATGCCGATACCACTGATAAACAGCCAGCGGACTTCTCCCCTAGTCCGACAGGCAGGATTAAAATGCACAGCGCGGCGGTATTGAGGACACATGATAGGACTTGTCTACATCTGTCGTTTAGACGAAGAACAAAGCATAGAGGCGCCAAGAGTTCATGAACATGCGGTCGTACGAGTAAATACAGTGAATTAGAGTTCGATCATCGATTTCCATTATGTCCACGATATGCTCAAAGAGCAGGCATGGTGACTGTAGTCAGGTATAGTGAAAGTAGACGAGCAGCCATGTACCACACTCTAAACCCTCTCTCCGCTTGAACGGACGACAATGAAGAGTCGAGGTGACCGAGCTGGAACCAGGCGTTTGTCGCTTTCTCCAATGCAGACCAGAAACACCGCCCAACTTAGTGTTAAGTGACAGCAGCCTTTTTCGCTTGTACTGTTGCACTATCTTCCCTCGCTGACCTTCAGCAGGTGTCTACGGAGACTCGAGGAGACTGAGTCTGATACTTCTACTATTCTTACTACTAATAATATTATTATTTAAACTGCTGCTTACTAGAAGTGTAACTGAGTGATAGTAGTGCTGCTACTATTACTGACGCTAACATATGGTCAGAAAAGAGGCTGATTAGAGTCAGCGCTGGGCCCGTGTTCCCTCGATTTCAACTAGGATTGGGTACCTGGATTTATGTTTTTCCGAGTAAAGTAGATGTTTGCGGCTCGGAGTACAGCAAAGCTTGCCCTGCTTCCTACCTCTATTTAACAAAATTGTGTCAGTTATTCCTATGTGCAGAGTACGAGGATTAAGATACTGCTGCTAATTCCAGTGATCATACTTACTAAGACCAGTAAATGGTGCACTACAATGCGGCCTGTGCGTGCATGTACGATATTTGAAACTAGTATGCAGTCGCAAACTACATCGGGAATATAGCAACCTGATGGGTTAAAGAAACGTGTATTAATGATAGCCAAATATCTATCATTCATTTAGATCGTAAGATGAGGCATTTTTCGTTTTCCCGGGCTAAGTTTGACTGACTACAGTACCTAGCTCTAGTTTTGAATTTACAGAACATCATCTGTCTAAATAGGAAGCTGCCTTCTCTCGAATCAACTAGACATAAAAGCTTAGTAATTCCTAAAACAGTGTCAATAGTTTAAGTAATGAGACATGCACCCCTTTTCGCAATTAGCATAACAGATGGGAATGTGAGTTTACCACTTGAGGTGATTGTGCAGGCACCCGTAAATCTCATAAACCAGCAGATAAAATTGCCAAATAACCTCGCATTGAGCAGATTTAGTGTTTGCGCCTGTCAGCAGAAAGCGCTTAAAGTCGCTCATGATCTGATAGCTGAATGGCCAACTTTATTTGTCACGTGGTCATGGCCGATTTTGATAGTGTGCGGATGGCAGTTAGGGAACTTGGACAGGCAGTCACGGGAACTAGTGCTAACCCGTCAAGGGCTGCACCTCGAAAATTGGCTGTCAGTTGCTACTAAGTTTAGACTACTAGGGCGAGGGTACAGCTGATAGAAGTAATATGCCAATGCTAGGAGTGGTATTTCAAATAATCACACTTTCTAAGAACAGCAAATAGTATACTACCATACGGCCTGATCGTGCATGTAAGATATTTGAAATTAGTATGCAGTCGCAACTTATATCGGGCAAATATTTATTTGAAGGACTAAAGACGCGTTATTTAGTAATAGCTCAATTTCTAACATGCTTTTATGTCGCATGGTGCTATTTAGCGTTATCAGGCTAACAGTTTGCACTATCTAGCTCTATCTTGAGGCTTAAGGGACGTCACCTGTCTAATAGAAGAGCAATCTGTTCCATAATCAACTAATATTGCTATATCCTATAACTGTATCAATAGCTGAGTAATAAGCAATAAGCATAACAGATGAGAACACGGGCCTGCCAAATTTCTCATCTTTATGTGGTGATTGTGTAAGACACTTGGCTTTACGAGTGAGTACATTAGACACATCAAAAAAACCACTGGCATGAGAATAACGGCAGCCCGATATGACCAGATTCAGGGGCATAAATGAGGGCATTTTAAATGGTCACCCTTTGTACACCGGACATGGTTCAGGCTAATTTTTCTTCCAGTGATTCGGCTAATAACTTTCTCGTGACATTCAAGTTACGATTTGTGCCCTTCTGACTGAAGTCTAGTTATCCCCTTCATATAAGAACTGATACTGTAGCGAGATGACTTCAGCCGACAACATGTATAAATACACTGTTGACTGATAGGCTAAAAATGTGTTAAGGTAAAATATTCAAAATAAAAATACACAAGTTTTGAGCTCGATGAGCTTGAGAAAAAGATGTCCAGTAAAAAGTTGCAACAGAAAAAGGATAAAATGATTGTCCAGATCGCGAGTGGTTTTCCGTCAAAGAAGAAGAATATGTGAAGGTTAGATAAGACGAGTTGACAGGCGCCCTTCCGGTGACCCATGCGAGACGAGGCGACCATTGAGATAACTGAGAGGTTCCAAACCACGGTAAAGGGGTTTAAAAGCAGGCGATCGACTACATTATGACTTGTGGATCAAAAACAGATTCGGAGATCGAGTTGTGGGGCAACACAAGGGCACCATTGAGGGCGACTTCGTCATTGACCTGAACGTCTTCGCCCAATACTGTAACGTTTTCCATACGAACCTGAAGATAAAAACAGCAAAAGTAGAGAAGTTGACGCGATGGCTGGGACCGGCATCGTATTCGCCTAGCGTTTTGAAATCATGTTTGAACCCATCGTCAGATATGGGTCACAAGT